ACATCTTGCTATCTTTGTCAGGACTTCACACACACAGAGCTCACAGCATCTCTGCCTCAGTCTGCTGCTCCCGTTTTTAACACCAGGCAAAAAATGCATTTAAAMCAGCTGACGTTAACTTTAGATCAGTTTGAAATGTACACCGAAGAGAACCAGCATCACGACTGCGGTCACAGTAAACGTGATGTGAGCTGTGTCTGGTTCACGGTGGACGGCTGCGCTCGCTAAAACGTTCAGCGAGAAAAGACCGAAAGCTTTTTGTATTTTAATCCAGCAGGGAGAACAATAGAGTTGTTTTTCTATGCCTCATGTGAGCAGCTCCAGCATTTTTCAAAAGAAAAACCACGCGGACACGCTGATTACAGTGCGGTGCGAAAGTGAAAGTAAAACATGTCGCAGCGCTCCCGTCTGGAAAAGATACTTAAACACAGCTGTTCTCTCTTCCCTCATATTCCGACACAGAGGGTAGAAACAGCTAAATTAGACAGCTAAAACACATTTACAGTTCATAACTCACCCTTGTTAGCACTCTGTCTCACAACATTAGCTGCTGCGCTCTCCCTGGGAGAAGGGGCGGACACATGCGCTCGCGTGACCCAAAGAACGGATCGGCCGAACGGACAGTGTATCGGCCGATACCGATACAAGGAAAAAACGCAAATATCAGCCAAAAATATCGGCCGGCCGATGTATCGGTCGACCCCTAGTTCGAATATGTTTCACAGTGAGTAAACTCGTAGTGCTTGTACTTTTTGACTTCGCCGGTTGACAGCGCGCTGGTCAGCCACTCCAGGTCTCTGAGCTTGAAGGGCAGCAGGATGAGGCTGACCCCAGGGTTCAGGTCCACCGCGCTCTCGGGGTACATGATGTGATGCGTCGTCCGGTTCCCCACATCTTTCTCAAAACCTCGAGTCTTGGCTCGGTTTATTCTGAAAAAGGAGGAGGAGGACGGTCAGAACGGGGTCTGAGGGTCTGTGTGTGTCTGCGTTTGCACGGGTCTGGACCTACACACCGGATCACGAAGCTGTGAGAGTCGATCAGTTCGCCGTGGCCAGAATTACGCAGGTTGCCAGAGTTGCCGATAACTGCACATTTACGACAGCGTGACGGGTGGGGGTTGGTGTCCACGGTGGGTGGGGGGATTACCTGGAACATTTTTGACATCACGTCCTCTAAAGTCTGCTCTGCACCAGACTGCTGAAGCCTCTGTGAAGCACCAAATATTCATTTATATTAAAACATGACGTGCAGGACTGACTAACATTTATTTACATGTTTTTTATTTTACAGAAAAGAGCAGTCAGAATTATCACCAGAAAACATTACAGTCACACATCAAATATATTATTTTATAAATTGAAATTATTAAAATTTTATGAGTTGGTTGATTATAATATTTTGCAGCTTATGTATAAGGCTCATAAAAAAATGCTGCCTTTAAACATCCAGTTATATTTTGTTAAGAGAGAAAGTTCTTATGATCTTAAAGGACTTGAGATGTTTGTGAAACCCAGAATTCAAACAAACTTGAAAGATCGATACACTTCGGTTCAAGGAATAAGATTGTGGAATAATCTGGAATGTGATTTTAAAAATGCTAGTTCAATGTATTTCTTTAAGAGAAGCATAAAAATAAGTT